AAACAAAATCTCAAGTCATATGAGCTTCAGGTGGACAGTAGAGTAAATACGGGCACCGTAAAAACACGACTTATTAGATAAGTCCCTGTATGTTGGAAATAAGAAGGGGTGCCCCTTGGAGGATAAAAGCAACCTTTTGGTTAACTGTTCTTTTTTTGTTTCTTCATCAGCATGCACTGAAGCCAGGCTCTCTACTGTGAGTTTAAACATAAGATGTTTCTGAACTTTGAAGCAACTTTCAGAGCGGAATAGACGGCAGTGCTGTAAATTAAGAGTAGTCAGCAAAAGCGAACATTCTGTGAAGCAGGAGATAGTGTGAGGGCAGAAGGCTGAGGCACCCTCATGCCCCACAGCGCTGAACAAGTGGAATTGAGCTTCGCGGAGGTGTTGGAGGGAGGGTGAGGGCAGGGGCAGCGTGCACTCGTCAGGAGGGGATTCCTAAGCCCGTAGGAGCCCAGAGGGCCGCAGAGACAGGAGGTTCCCACAGCGGAGTAGAGGGGGGCTGCGAGCACAGGGAACTTTCTGGGTGAGGCGCAGATACCCGGGCTGTGGCGGGAAGACGCCCTGGACAGAGCTGGGGAGGCTGAAGCAGAAAGGAAGGCGCTGAGGGAAGGGACTACATCGGGAGATTAGTAGAGTCAGTGGTGTTGGTGCAAAAGATAACTGACCCTGGGTTAGGACACCGGTAAAAGACCTTAAAACGGGTAGAGAAAATACAGTGGGGATTTTGTTCAGACTTCAGCAAGGCCATTAAAGCCAGGTTGTAGATGAATATTGATGACGAAAAATGTTTGCAGTAGGTTTATACAATATTCCCATTTTAAAAAGACACATTTGTAAAGAGAGAAGCTCGCCAAGGATGGCGGCACGGTGGCCGCTCTGCTCTGTCCTTCCGCCGCGGAGCTGCATCCGTATCCCCGGGCTTTGGTCTCGTGTTGAGGTCGGCTGGTGTTGAGAAAGGAATTTTGAATTGAAATGGCATTTCTCATCTGTGTGGGGAGTTTCTTAAGGAGGACCTGTCCTCCCTGCTCTCTGCACTCGCTGCACGGGCACACTTTTAAGCTGTTTCTTTCCACATCCTGGTTCCAGCAGGGAGCTGGGTTTGCAGAAGCTTCAAGACATGCACAAGCCCACCCCGGGGACCCCGCTCCCGCAGCCTCTGGCCCCTGCTGCACAGTCTCTCTGGAACCCCCAAGGCCACAGTCATCAGAGCTTCCTAAGGCTTTTACCTAACCCTTCAATTTTCGTAGCTACGTGACTGCGTCTATCCAAGGGGCAGAGCGCGATAATTCAGTACATTCTCACAACGGACGCTGGTCACCTGGGGTAACCAGCGTCCCCCTCTCCTCAAACACTCATCCGTTCTCTGCGTCAGGAACCTTCGAGTCTTGCTGCTGGAGGATCCCTGCTGCGGCGTCCTTCCATCTACCACGCAAGTTGGGGCTGAGATCATTCTCAGAGATGCTGTTGAGCAGGGGAGCTGTGCGCTTATTTCACTCCCAGAGTGAAGGTTTTCAGATGATGTTTTTCCAAACATCATCATCTTTGGGAAGTGTTGAGTGCAACTGATCGAGGAGCCGGCAACTGACCTCCTCAGGGGCACACAGGACACCTCAGAGAGTCTCTGCTGCGAGACAGCGCTTTGGCTTCATGAGAAATCACGACTCTGCCCTTTGTCAGGCCTGAGGACAATCTCCATCCTTCCCTCCCTCCCTCCCCTCCCTCCTTTCCTTCTCTCCCTCCCTTCTCTCCCTCCCTCCCCTCCCTCCTTTCCTTCTCTCCCTCCCTTCTCTCCCTCCCTTCTCTCCCTCCCTTCTCTCCTCCTTTCTTGCCTACCTTCTTCCCTTCCTCCCTTCCTTCCTTCCTCCTTCCTTCCTTCCTTCCTTCCTCCTTCCCTCCTTTCCTCTGTCTCCCTAATCCCTGTCTCCCTTTTCCTTCTCTTTCTTTCTCTTTCTTTCTTTCTTTCTTTCTTTCTTTCTTTCTTTCTTTCTTTCTTCTTTCTTTCTTCTTTCTTCCTTTCTTCCTTTCTTTCTTTCTTCCTTTCTTTTTCTTTCTTTCTTCCTTTCTTTCTTCCTTTCTTTTTCTTTCTTTCTTTCTCTTTCTTTCTTTCTTTCTTTCTTTCTTTCTTTCTTTCTTTCTTCCTTTCTTTCTTCCTTTCTTCCCTTCTTCCTTTCTTTTTCTTTCTTTCTTTCTTTTTCTTCCTTTCTTCCTTTCTTCCTTTCTTTTTCTTCCTTTCTTTTTCTTTTTCTTTCTTTCTTTCTTTCTTTCTTTCTTTCTTTCTTTCTTTCTTTCTTTCTTTTTAATT